AGGAAGTGGTCACTCAGTAAGTTAGAAGTATAGCGACTAAGGCACTCAGGAGATTGGGTGGACAGAGCATGATCTGCAGCCACACTGCCTGGTTGCAGATCCTCAATTTATGATCTGAGGGGCCCTGGGCAAGTTATTTAACTTCCCTGTGCCTTAATTTCCTCATCTGCCAAATGAAGATAATGGTCCTGTCTCTATCCTGTGGTTGTCAGCATTAAGTGAGTGATGTGTATAGAATTTAGAACAGCGTCTGCTGCTGAGAGAGTAACCCACAAAGGCAGAATCCACATGTGGGGACCTGAAGTTGACATAAAAGTAAGGCACTGGGGGTATTCTCCATGCTTTCTCTTGTGCCTTAGCCTTGGCACTGTGTCATGGTGTCGCGAGTATAGCGTATCTTGTGCCATGTTCAGAGCAGGCTGTTACCTGTCCAACTCCAGGAAACACCTTACGTCCACAGTGTAGAGACCGATTTCCAAATGTTCCTGCTCTGTTCACTTACCCATGTTGTCTCGAGGAGAGGGCAGATCTCTATCTCAGGAAGACCGAAATATGTCTGTTCATCAAGGGTATCATGCAGTTGACTCAGTAGGAAAAGTTTGTTTTGTTTTGGTTTGGTTTTAAATAGGAGTGGTTGCTTTTTACTCCTTCCAGTTTACCTGTTAATATTTTTTCAGTGCCTACAGCATACTATGTATATTATGTTAAGAACTTTCACATCATCACATATGATTTTCTTATATTAAAAGTTTTAAGGCAGAGCTGGGGGGCAGGTACACAGGCCCATAATCCACGCACTCAGAGGCTGAGGCAGGAAAATTGAGAGTTCAAGGCCATCCCCGGCTACATAGTGAGTTCAGGGCCAGCCTGAACTACATGCTGAGACCCTGTCACCAAAACAGAACAATGAAACAAAAACAAAAAGTTGTAAGGAAGATAAATTCTTGCTTTTTAAAAAATAGGCAGTTGAGTTCAGAGAGACAAACTGATGTATGGGGTGAACCAGCACATAGCTAGAAGGTAGCAGACCTGGTTTTCATATCCTGGACTCTTTTTGCAGGGCCATATTGCCTTTTCCCTGTTTGTTCCATGTTTTTGAATGCAGAAGAGAAAGCTTTTCAGAAGCCGTGTACTATTTCCTTTAGCTACTCTTGAATCTTAATTACTTCTACCTTAGTTATAAAATAAGCTGTTCATTTGGGAAATAATGTTGCTCAGGTCTGGATTCTAGGCTCCTACTCTCCTGTCCTATTCTAATGCCAGGTTTAGTAGAGAGATTGGCTGCTATCACTATCATGATTTTTTAAAAATCACTATCATGATTATCAACGAAAAATAGTAATCAAGGCCTGGAGGTAAACAGTAGTATCTGGATTCCTTGATTCTTAGGATTGAGGGAGGGGTGTGCTAGGAATTGTCCCTAGGGTCTCACACGTACTAAGAACACATTCTGTTGCTGAGCTACATCCTGAGCCTGAATCACAGGGTATACTGACAAGCAGGCGCTTCATAGGTAACTGAGCCCACTCTGCCCGGCACTGTCCACCATACAGATGTGGGTTCTGCTTCTGAGTTCACCGTGGGTCTGTGCAGAGCAGTGTGTGTAATGGAAAGGTCTTTCGTTATGCCTTCTTATTTTCATATTGGGTTATATAATCAGTCACCTGTTCTTAGTTCTCAAAGTAATCTCTATTCCTGGAGTGCAGCACCTCCCGTCAGTGTATTGCCTTTAACCTGTGCTGTTTGAGTGTCTCTTTAGAAATCTGTAGGATAATTCCTAGGTCTCTCATAGGTCAGTATTTGTCCAGACGCCACTTTGAGGCCATGTAGTAACAACAGCAGTGGCTGTTTAATGAACACCTGCCATGTGCAAGATGCCGCACATAAAGATAAGAAAAATCTGAGGGGTGGTAAAATTGAATACTTTGACCAAGGTTATACTTATGAAGCAGCGCAACTGGCCTCAAACTCAAGGTTGTCTGATGCCTAAGCCTCTTCATCAAGTATAAAACGTTTGAGTCAAGAGTCCTCGGGCTGGGGATTTAACTCAGTGGTTCCACCGCCTGCCTTGTAAGCGCATGGTCCTGAGTTCGATCCTCAGTACAAAAATAAGGTCCTGAAAATGGATCCGATGTGACACAGAGCTGTTCTAGCTTGATCTCTAGATTGAATAATGGTTTTATTCTCCAGTTTACATGTGATTTGTTGCTCCTGCTCCTATGGAAATTGTTTAAGGAAAGTGAGGTGGTTAACTGTTGGCTGACAGCTGTAGAAAGATAGTTGTAGCTAGGAATACTAGTTCCCTTTCTCTCACTGGAGCTTTAGAAAAGGAGCTAGGATTAATGGCACTGAATATGATCTAAATAATACAAAAGAAGCCAGCCTTAGTAACCAACATCTTTTAAATCTAAATAATCTTAGCTTCTGAATAGATTGTGACACACAAAGTTCAGTTTGTAGTACCTCACACAGGCATTTATTTTCTAATTAAGCTGTTAGGCTGGTCTCACAGTGCTTTTCAAAACTTAAAAAAGAATGTGGTTTATGACAGAATCAGGCTTGTATTTAAAAAGCAACAGACAAATTAGCCCTTGATACTATTCTAAATTCTCACCTAAAAAAGTTACTTCTATATAGGAACTGTTTAAAAGCTATTTTTGTAACGACTTCATTTCTTTTTTTCTGTCTTCTTCCCATATATATCGGCCCAAGCTGAGGAAAGCCATTAGGCACATGCATTCTAGATAATGTACAGAATCAATATTTTATGTAAAATGGCAAAAACTAGGCTCTCTTGGTTTGTCAGTACGATTATTTATTTACATTTGCATCGAACCTTTACTGAGCTTCCATTTAGAGCTTCAGCCTGACGTCTGCCCTTCCTTGTCTTCAGTGGTGGTTTTCACTAAATTTCGGGTCTATCACTCCATGCACCCACCCTTCAGATGTGCAGCGTAGCCTTCCTTCCTTCTCCCGCTTTCCTTCCTGATTTCCTTCCTTGTTCATTCATTCATTCTTACAAAAGTGTTTATAGTACATCAGCGTTTCGTCAGGTTAATACGTGTTTAATAGAATAGTGTTACTTGCACAACATTCTGTCAGTCTCTTGGTAGATATTCAGGTTGTCTTTTTTTCCTTTCATCCTATTAGATAACTGCAGTGGGCATGCTTATACACGTAATTTTCTCTTCTGGATAATTTCATTAGGATAAATTCCTAAGAGTAGCAGTTCTGGGTCAAAGGGGATAAATATTTTTATGGCTTCTCATATGTGTTGCCAAGTCACTTTCCCTTTTAGCATTCGTGTCAGGGACTGTACTGCCACCAGTTATACGCCTAGATCCTCTCGCAGCTGTGTCTGCGGTCTTGCTCGCCTCAGATCTGGCCTATGATCTGGCCTGTGAACCTCCCTCATCGTCCTCCCCCACTTACCTGTCCCCTCTCTGCAGTTTCAGGTGTGAGTTTTTAAATCCCCGCCCTTAGCACCTGATTTCATCCATTTTGATTGGTTTAGTTTACACTTGTACCTGAAGCAGCCTCCCTGAGGTTTCTCAGATGACCCTTTGCTCTCCAACAATTTCTTATCCTCAGAACTACTTTTCTACCATTTCCCCATCTCGTTGGATTTCAAACATTGCTTCTTCTCCAAAGCTGCCAACGCAGAACCACCTGTAGTGATCTATCTTTAGTATTTAATGTACTTAACTCCTGGTGTGTTGCCAATACATATTTGTCAGTGTGACCAATCAGAGGAATACAAAGAAAAAGTAGAGAATTCAAAAGAGCACTTGTTCTCCGGGTCAAACTTAAGCAGAGAATGAAAAATTCTATGCTCTCTTTTTTGGGTATCACCACTCTTTTTATGGACAGGCCAACTTATTTTATCTTCCATTTTCCTCTACTTCCGCTACAAAGTGGAAAATAAAGTGTTCCAGTCACTTCAGGAGAATCACAACACTTTTCCCTTCTAGTTACGTTTTCCTCAGTACAGTTGGCATCATCATCATCATAAACCATGACATTTACTGTGTGCTAGGCATTAAGGTGGTGTTTGGTGTGCCTTGGTTCTTTGACTCTTTCCTTCTTTCTTCCTTCCCTTCCCTCCCCTCCCCTCCCCTCCCCCCGGTCCCTCCTTCCTCTTCCAGTACTGGGTATCAAACTCATGACCTTGTGCTTGTGAGGCAGGTGCAGTACCACTGAGCTAATCCCCGGCCCTACCCTCTACTTTCAAATGAGACACCCAGACACAGTTAAAACTGCTCAGGGTCACAGCTAGTAAGTAAGTGATGGGGCCATGAGTCTAACTGTCGTTCTTACAGGATTACTTTTCTAAAATATCAAAATTCTTTTCCCTGTCAATGATTTTTTGATGCTTTCTTATTGAATACCAAAAAAGAAAATATAGGGGCCTGGGATTTGGTTCAGTGGTTCTGCCGCCTGCCTCGCAAGTGCAAGGTCCCAAGTTTGATCCCTGGTGCCACAAAAAAAAGAAAAGAAAATGTAAACTCAGAACATTGGAAGGCTCTTCTAAATCTGCCCAGACTGCTTCATTCTCGTCTTCCTCTACGCCTCCTTCCCCTAACATGTGTCCCATGCTCTAGTCTCACAGAGCTGCTCATTTTGTGAGTGGATCATACAGGTTCACACAACTGAACCTTTGTTTTTCCCCTAGAATGCTTTCAGTTGCCTCTTTGCAAATTTCTCTTTGTCCTTCAAGGTCCAACTCAAGTGCTGTAAACTCTGAGTAAAGTATTCCAGATTTCCCTGGGCAGATAGTGACTTGGTTCTGTATTTTCCTTATATATATTTCTGTAGCTGTTTTTTTCACACCACTTTATAATTATTTGCTTCCATGTCTGTCTCTTTAATAAGAATATTGAGGTGTGGAAAGCAACATTTTTATGAAGACACTATTTGATGCATTTTTAAATATAGCCCAAATTAAAAACCTGTGTATTTAAAATGACGTTGTTTTCCCTTTTTTCCCCCCTCTCAGCATAGGGCTACTTTCAAATTTGAATCAACAGATGAAGATAAAAGAAAGGTAAGACTTGATGTTATGTTTGTGTGTGCATGTGCGTGCATGATCTCACACCTTGAAATCCTGTGTGTGTGTTTCATTCCTGGACTTTGTGAGTGGTGGGCTTCTTTTCATGGATGATTGTTGGTTCGTGTTTGGTTTTCCTTCAGTTTGTTTCTTAGTAACCGTGAGAATAAAGACAGGTGCCAGGGCTAGTAGGGCTTTCACGCCACTCCGTCCTGCTGCATCCGCACAGGCCCATTTCGTTTGTGCAAATCAGAGGAGTTAGGGCCAGGGATTTAGCTCAGTGGTTCCACTGCCTGCCTTGCAAGCACAAGGTCCCAGAAAAAAAAAAAAAAAAAAAAATTGAAGACACAGGAAGGGTTCAGAAGGGGTTGTGTCCCCACATTTTTCACTGCCAAAAGGTTGTTTTTGTTTGGTGGCAGGACTCCAGGTTGCCCAAAATGTTGCTAATTTAAAGCTTTGCTAGGATAAGTTAAATTTTGGGAAGCAGCCGTTCATACTCCTGTCCCTCAGATACATATCCTTCCCCGTGCTGGAAGCTACTTATATGCTAGCAGGTGTCCAGGACACTGGCTTCCCTGACACAGAGGAGAGTGGAGGCAAGAGACTGTCACATACAGGAGTTAGTGCGAGAGAGAGGGTGTCGGACACAGCACCACAGAGGTATGCTTGCTTGTCGGCGTTGCCTGGGGCTGCCTTGCTGGTTGGTAAAGCATGATGCTAACAAGTATAAGCTCACCAGTTCTGCCTCTGTGTTTTACTGGGCTCCTTACAACTGTCTTGACCTCACAAATGTCAAGAACAGATAAGACAGTAAGAAGGAATCAGTGTAAATCGGTTTCTGCTGCTGGCAAAAGATAGTTTAAATTCAGTACGTTGTTGTTAGTAGTTTAATAGCACACACCTTCCAATCATACTTTCACTTGCCTCTGTTGTTGCATTTAGTATCTCTCGGCCTCATTTTCCCTCCTTAGAGTTCCTCAGTCCTTTCTCAGCTTATGTCTGCCCTAATTCACACCTTGTCTGAAGTACTATATCACTTTTCTTTTTTTCTTTGTTCCTTTCTCTTTCACCTCTGTTCCTCTCCTCCTCTTCCTTCTCCTTCTCTGGGCAGTACTGCGGGTGCTCTGCTACTGATCTACATCCTTACACTCCTAGCCATTTTTAATCTTTCTTTTGGGACAGGGCTGTATTAAGGAACCTCAAACTTGGGATCCCCCTGCTTCTGTTTTTTCATTTTTCAGTTACATTCCCTTCCACCCGATTGTCTGTAAATGTACAACAGCGGTCTGACCATGTCATTCCCAGCTGTAAAACCCTTTTGTGACTTTCTTTGCCTATAGAATAAAGTTCAAGCTTTTTAAGGTGACGCTAAGTGCTCAGTGATCTGATGCTTGCCTACTTTTGCAGCCCGTTTGTGCTCTGTCCCTGTAGCTCGTGTTCTAGCAATATAAAGCGTCTCTGGGTATACACACGTACGATTCCTTTTTGTTTCTTCCTTCTTTCTTTTGCATATATTGTTTTCAACCAAGAACACCCACTGTTCCTTGTATCTCCTCTCCTTTCCACCTGGTTACTTCCTCCACTCCACAGGGACACTTCCTTCGGCAGTTCTGTCCCTTCCTCAGTGTCCCCGTAATACTCTGTGTAACTCTCCAACTGTAAATACTTACACTTTAGTTCATAGTTATGTCTCTGTGTTTCTAGATGTTAGGCCCTGAGGACTCCTGATGACAGGTAGCTATGTACCTTCATATCCTTGATGTCTAGAATGCCCAGCATTTAAGTACTCAGAAGTATTTATAGAATAAGAACTTTGGAGATTAGAGGAGACTTTTTTTTGGATTGGCACAATGTAAACAAGGCAATGAATACCTTCTAGAATAGGGATTCTCAATGAGGAATGTACTCTTTGTATAGCTTTTTAAAGGTAGGCCTGCTCAAGCCCAATCCTTAGCTACTGAATTAGAATTTGGGGAGTAGGCTCCCATTTGGTAGGAGTGCAAAGTGGCACAATCCCTATGGAGAATTTAGCAGTATGTATTAAAATTATAGCTGCCTTTTACCCTTTGATGAAACAATGTCACTTTTAAAATCTATTCTGTGTTATAGATTAAGCCCGAGTAAATAGTTACTCATTCATACATCGCACGTAATAGCAAAAGATAGGAAATAACTAAATGTCCAGCAGTTAGAAAGTATTTGAAGAAACTATGGGGTATTTATGTAATAGAATACTATGATACAGTAAAAAGAGAAAAATAGGATTACGTGCTAATGGTAGAGTTAACTGAAAGAAAATACTCATGATAGAGATTCAGGCTAGGAAGTCAGCTGCTATTTGTTCAGTTGGGAGAATCCATACTACATCTGTAGATTCACAGTGTCTTAAGAATAGCACTTTGGAGGGTGGGGACAAGGGGAAAAAATGAGAACCAAGACCTGGCATGTAAAGGTACAAGATTATATCACACTTTGGAGGGTGGGGACAAGGGGAAAAAATGAGAACCAAGACCTGGCATGTAAAGGTACAAGATCCCAGTAATGAATGTAACTGTACTGTCTACCTAGACTGTACCAATAAATTCAATTTAAATTTTAAAAAAAAGAATAGCACTTTAGATCTTTGGTTGTGCTATCACTTGTCACTGTAAGTGAGTTAAGACAGCGTTTCCTCCACCCCATATACACTTTAGTTGAGAAATTTCCCACACAGTTACTAATATAGCATGCTGTCTATTTCCTATAGGGGAGTAGGAAAGCCTGACGTTTTCCATGTGCAGTATTCTTATCCCTCAGCATCTACATGAGTTTGGTTCCAGAACATCCTCTCCCCTGGGACACAAAAGGCCTCAGGTGCTCAGGTCCCTTATATAAACTCATAGAGTGTTTGCATATAACCTGTACACAGACTCCTACATACTTTAAATCATCTCGAGATTATTTGTAATAGCTAGTACAATGTAAATACTATGTAAATAGTTGTTACACAGTGGTGTTTAGGGAATAATGCAAAAAGTCTGTCCCTGTTCTATACAGGTGCAATTTTCTTTACTATTATTTTTGATCTAGAGGGTGGTTAATCCTGCAGTATGGAGATTGTCCTTTACTGACTTCTAAACCTCTAGAGAGGATAACTTTACTAGTGGTTACTTCAGTTACAGTGTGTGGATTTCTGCTTCCTAGGAGGTCTGTTATAAACAAGTGTCATTAGGGACCTGGCTAAGTAATCTTCATTAATGGAAAAACATTGGCAAACAAATCCATTTAAGTCTCCAGGGTTAAAACCATTAGTGACTTTTTCATGCCTAAAGGCTGTTTTTAGACTTCGATATCAAAACTGTTGGACAGCTCAAAAGGATATACATCCTAAAAGCATTTTAAGCTCTCAACATAGAGACAGACAGAATACAGTAGTTGACACTTATCCACATTAAATCCAATGTGAAAATAAAAGAAATTCGGATTACCACACAATGTCTTTTGCTGTCCTACTTCTTTTTTCTCTTTCTTAAATGTGTTTTTGGTGCCTTCTGCCAGCAGATACTTGGTAACAGCAGCATCCCTTTTGGTGTAGTGCAGTGCTGTCTGAGAAACACAGTGTCACCTTTCTTACGTAAAAACCTTTGTGACAACTTAGAAGAAGCATAAGGGAACAGTGCCCTTTCAGAAGTGAGTTGATGACATTGAGCTTTTCGAGATACGGTTCTAAATTAATGATCCGTAGGCCTAGTCACTGACACTAATGTAGTGCTTTATATTTTTTACAAAGATTTACTTCTCACAATTAGTGCTTTAATATGGTAGAATATAACCATTCCTATTTTATGCATGAGAAAACTGAGGTTCACGCGAATGACAGCTTCTTAACACACCCGTAGTAAATGGCGGAGCTTCAAATAGAAAACAGATTTTTCTAACTAGTACAGTGTTTACAACTCTCACTGCTCACTGCAGCTATGGCTCCCTCTTCTTGCCATTGGAGGTGTATTTCGGAAGATGTGAAATTATGATGCAGTACCTTGTTTCATCTCTTATTTTATACCTTCGGGGACCACTTAGGCAAAACCACTTAAATAGGAAGACAGCAAAGGAAATAAGCAAGGGGGATGCTTACTCTTTCTGGGGAAGGAAAGGCTGAGGCATGAAGATCATAAGTTTGAGCCTAGCCTAAGCAGCTAAATAGAAAACAGAGAAGGGCTGGGAAGATAGCTCAACGCAAAGGCCCTGAGTTCCACCCCCAGTACTGGGGGGAGCAAAAGTATATACAACTTCTAGTACCTGCGCATGTCGTGCAAATAGTTCCAGGTGCATGAGGGTCAGTTGTCTGTTTGGATATAAACACCTGTGCTTAGTAAAGCATTGGCTTTACATCCTCCTCCTAAGTCGGGAGACTGTGATTACCTGGTGGCATATAAACAAATGTATCCTGTAGATCAGAGCAGGGGGGTGGGCTGGTGCTGGGTTCTTTGGTGGAATGCTTGCCTAGCATGCGCGAGGCCCTGAGTGTCACCCCCTCACCCCTAAAAAGAGAATGGGGAGGGGAAATGAATCATGTAAAAATTCTCATCTTTTGCAAACAAAAGCTTTTACATTGGATTTAAAAATAAAACCACAAACTCAGTGAAGAGTACTAATTGCAGTAAAAATTGAAAAAGACATGTCATAAAATAAGTAAAGGAATTACAGCTTGTTCACCTTCTAAGAACCTTATCAAACATGGGAAAACTTCAGTTGTTGAGGTAAGTCCTTGGGTATATGGTATTTTTTTTCAAAAAAGGTAAATTTAAAAGAGCCACCTTTCAAGAATATTCCATTCCTTCAGACTCACACAACTAAGTCCACATTCCTGATGAAGCGTAGGGTAATTGTCAAGTTGAGATGGTGAGGACAGGAATTCCGCTGGACTTACCTTTGTGTCTTCAGCCCTCACCACTCCATATCGCACAGAGCAGGTGCCTGCAAGCAGTTCTCATGACTGAAGGGCACATGGAGATCAGTCAGGAGCCAGGGTGGTTGTGATCGGTACATGTGCTTTGGTTCTGTGTTCTGTATTCTCCTAGCTCTGCCACCGACTCTCGAAGCACATCTCAATGTTGCATACTGAGGGTAGGGCACAGTATAACCACAAGGGTGTGAAACTAATAAAAACTGGACAGAGAAATTGTTACAAGGAAACTTATGGGGTGGTGCTGCCTAGATACTACACTGCTATTGTGGATTTTATATTTATTTTTATTTTCTGTATTTTAAACTTTTCCATTATAAAAGATTATAATTATTTAAGAATATAATTATATAACATTAAAATACTTTTATTTAAGAATATAATTATATAACATTAAAATACTTTATAATAGTGTGATTAGAGGTATAAGAAAGAGCGATAATGCATTTTCTCTAAAACTGAGCTGTTATTACTTTACATACTGCTTGGGGAGATCATATTTTTTATTAGTTTTAGGGTAATATTACTTGCAGAGCCACTTGTATGAAGTAAAGTGAATGTCTATGAACGCCCAAGTCCATTTTGCCATTTTAGTTATTTTTTTCTTTTCACTTTGTCCCTGCAGATTTAAGAATACTTGGCACATTAGAGATTTCTGGAGTAATTCTTGTAGGCTCCATGTTTGGCTTGCACTTTCTCACAGATCCCTGTTGAGGACTGCTGTTGCGGACTATAGGATATGCATGAGAAATGTCCTCTATTAGGTTCTCCAAAAGAAAATATGCCAAGACAGAAATGTCACTTCTCGACTGAATCCGTGCTTGGGAATAGCTCAAGGTGTGGATGCTTGTTTGAAAGCTCTGTATACTGAAGTTACTTATTTGACATTGTCAAACTCTGGATTTTACTAAAAGAAGATAAGCCTTTTAGGCCTAGCAAATTAACCCATAAGTCATTTGATGTCTTCTTCTGTGGGAATATTTTGATACATGATAGAAATATAGTCCTCACTTTGAAACCAGTGTCTTTAAAGATAATTTTCAGTACTTTGATCTCTTTAAAACATACACACATAATACCAAACATCTAAACATTTTTCTCTTCAAAGTTTCTGTCTAGCTGGAATCTGGCACAAAACTTACAAGGGCTGAGCTGCATCATAGGGCAGGATGAACGCATCATAGTAGTTCAAATAAAACAATTTAAATTTTATTCCATACTCTACTTTTTATTTTAGATGTTTTGACACAGCATTGAAGGACTAAATCTAGCTCTTCTAATGTAGTAAGTCATGGGTGTGACAGTCTATCCGTGATCTTCAGATCACTTTTTAGGGTTTTTGATAAGAATAGTTTGTTTGATTTGTACTTTAGAATTTTAAGAGCATTTTCTTATATAAAAATGTCAGCAGTGAGTTATTCTTCCAGCTGTGACAGTGTATGGGACTCTATACACCTGCTCTCCAGTGAAACTGGTGAAAATTATTTTTAAAAATAAACATTTTAAGTCTCTGAAAATAATTCCATGGACATGCAGTTAATGAAGGAAACATTCACTCAAGAAAATCTAAGACTGAGTAAGAAAAGTAGAAGTCTGCCTGTGGTATTTGCATCAAGACCTGTCCTCTCCTCCTCTTTCGGCTGAATAAGGCAGAGAAGCTCTCCTTCAGACAGGCAGTGATGAAGGAGCACAAGGCTCCCTTTCCTCTGCCCCAGGTGGAGGGCTGTCTTCCCAGGAGGGCCATTGTGTGAGCACTTCTCATCCTGCTCCCAGCTCCCTACTGCTGAGACTCGGTTCATATGCGCAGCTGAGAGGTGGGCACTCCTGCCCGTGTGCCCTCTGAATTGCTTCCAAACATTTAAAACATTTATTCTAAAAATAATCTTCACCAGTTTTACTCAAGAGCCATACCCTGTCACAGCTGGAAGATGAACTGATTGGTGAAATTTCCATGTGACCGTATGCACCCAGAGTTCTAAGGTACAAATAAAAGTACATGAGTGTGACACTGGTGCAAATACTAGGGTTACATTTGCCCTTGCAGGCTGATGGGACATGATTCTGTTCCAGGAAAGGCAAGCCAAGCAACTATGGCACTGCAACACCTCTACCTCTACCAAACTCTTGACTTCTAAAGCGAGTAAAACTCGGAGAGAAACATACCATTGTCCCTGCCTCCAGCATCAGAGCCAGGGCTCAGAAATTTTGCTCAGTGGGAGAAACAGAAGCAAACCTTACAGCATAGAGGTCTAATTGGCTCCTAAAGGAACTGATTTCTTGGGAAGCGGAGTATGGAGTTCATGCCTAAAGGTGCAGGTTATGCTGGAAGACAGTTGAGAGTAGATTGACAGATTCTTTGGATGCACAGGCTAACCTGAAGATTGACTAGCTTGCTAGCGGGAAGGGTGATAGCTGGAAGGAATTCTCCTGGGGCAAGGACAGATTTAAAAGACTGACCCAGGAACTGCTTCTGCAGAAGAGCTGTAGCAGACTGGATCAGTTTATGGAGCAAGTTTGCCCTAGGACCTGGTTGAGGACAGTAGATCAATCATGTAGCAGTTAGTGTGGTCAGGAAAAGAGACTGTCAGAGGTACCTGCCAAGGCCATTATCATTCCAGAGCAACCGTGGGCATATCCTAGGTGCACCATTAGGGCGTCACGCGGAGAGGAGAGACAAGGGGAATAAACCACAACCACAAGTAATTCAGCCAGCCACTAAACAAATAGGCCCCCCCAAAAAGGCAAGTTCTGGGAGAGAGGGAGGGTTTAGCAATACCTGGAGTTGCTACAATGTAGAATGTTCAACCTCCCTCCACCTCCGATTATGAGACATGCAAAGGGACAGAAAAGAATGACCCATACAGAGGGAAGAAGAGTGCGGTGAGCCAGACCAGATGGTGGACTTAACAAAGACTTTAGAGTAGCCACTATACATACATTCAGGGGACTAACCGCAACCATGATTGAGGAAGTTATAACGGAAGATATAATAACAGTGTCGTGTCAAATGGAAAATATCGATAGAGTTACTTAAAAAAAATCAAATGGGACATTCCGGAGTTGAAGAGTTAAGTGCAATAACAGATAAATTTTTACAAAAGGGCTCAGCAGTAGATATGAACAAGCAGAAGGGAGAATAAACGTGAAGATAGTTCAGTGGAGAGTAAGGAAGACAAAAAAACAAAGGAAAAAGAAAAATAGAGAACCTTAGAGAAATGTAGGACAACATTTACATACCAGCATATGCTGAGTGTGAGTTCAAGAAGGATTGAAGAGAAAGCATTTGAAGAAGTCATAGCTGAAAACCCCCTAAATTTATTAGAAACCTGCACATCCAGGAAGTAAGTGAACTCAAAGGCATAGATGCATCACAGAAAAATGCTAGATGCCAAAGACAAACCTTAAAAGCAGCAAGAGAAAAACGATTCTTAGTAAGATTTACAGCTGACTTAGCAGAGATACGGGCCAGAAACAAACAGTGGTATAACAAACTCAGCTGCTCAGGAAAAACCAACCCCAAATCCTGAGTCCAGCAAATCTACCTTTTAACAATGGGAGGCTGATAAAGACATCAAAACAACAACAAACTACAGACAAAAAAATCTCTGAATTTGTGCTAGCCAGCTCACTTCACTAGAAGTACTGAGTTCAAGATCATCCTGGACTATACAGCGAGACCTTATCTTTAAAAAAAAAAAAAGCACTTGTATAAAACAGCATGCGTATAATCTATTGTTGAGCCAGGAGTAAACAGGGCTATAACAGACTTGCCGAAAAGAGTAAAAAAGTGAACGGGAGCAAAGCTGTATTACTAAGTGGTTCCAGATGGTAACTAGAACCAAGAAGAGGAAGACAAGAGAACCAGAAATTACTTGTTTAAAAAGACTAATATAACACAAGCCGTAAAGTGTGCATTTACTCTCCTCTCTCAGCTTCTATCCCAAATAAAATTGTAAAAGGAATTATAATGTATTGTTGAGTTTGTGGGATTAAAAAATATATAACCATAATACCACACAAAGAGGGAAGAGTGCTATAGGAATAACTTTTCCATATCTCAAAGAAAGTAATTATAAATCTGGAATAGATTCTGATAAATTAAGATGTGTTCAACCCAGTTGAAAGCAGTCTCTGATCAGGGAGGTAGGACCAGGAGTCAATAAAGGTTTTTGAGCAACATCCAGGACCCTGAAGCCCAGTCTCTGGCTGCTTTCCTGCGAGCCCCGAGGACAACGACAGCCTTATCCCCCTGTGTTTCCTCAGGACCCTTGGCCTTGCAGATTCTCCAGGATGAGCACCGACTCACCACCCACACTACTGAAACTGGCAACGCAGAGCTTGCTGAGGGACAAAGACTTGGCCATGGGGGCTGTGGAAGATTTGCCAGGGGAGCTCTACCCCCCAGTGTTCATGGAGGCCTTCACCAGGGGTCACTTTGAGGTCCTGAAGGCCATGGTGCTGTCCTCGCCCTTTTGCCCCTAGGAGCACTGATGACCATTAGGAACCTACAGACTTCAGACACCGAGGTGGATATCATCCAGGTGCAGAAAAGGATGTTACAAGCTATGCTGGATGGGCTTGATGTGCTGCTGAGCCAGAAGATTTGCTCCAGGAGGTTGAAACTGCAAGTGTTAGATATGCTGGACATGCACCAAAAGTTCTGCAGAGTCTGGGCTGGACACAGCTTGGAAGTCTGCTCCTCAGAGGCCATGAAGAGGAGAAACACAGGGAAAAGTGAGGCAAGGGCAGCAGAAAAGCGACCCCTCAGGGTGACTGTGGACTTGAGTCTTGGTCAGACATTTCAGACTCCATTCCAAACCTACCTTCTCAAGTGGATCCAAAAGAGGAAAGATCTGGTGCAGCTGGATTGTACGAAGCTGTGTGTCACCGTACCCTGCATTGCAAGTATTGCAGAGGTCCTGGAAATGCTTAACCATGGTTCTGTGAAGGAGCTGAATGTTCGGAACCTCTGGACACCCTTTACCTTGGTTCATTTTGCCCCTTACCTGGGCCATATGAAAAATCTTAAAAAACTAATTCTCAATAACATCCGTGTGCCTGTGTCCCTTTCTCTAACTGAGAGAAAGGAGTTAGTCACCCAAACCACCTTTGAATTCCTTAAGCTTCTCTCTCTGGAGGAGATGTATATGGAATCTGTCTCCTTCCTGGAAGACCACCTGGACCAGGTGCTCAGGTGCCTGCCATTCCCCCGGAGACCCTCTCACTAATATACTACCAGCTTTGACACTCTGACTGGAGCCAGCTGCCACAGCATCCAAGCATCAGGCACCTGAAATACTTAAGAGTTGTATGGTATCAGGCTGACGCATTTTAGGCCTGAGCCCCTCCGATCTTTCCTGAATAACCTCACAGCCACGCTGACTACCCTACACTTGCAGGCCTGTGGGATCACGGATGCCCAGGTCCATGCCTTTCTGCCCACCTTGAGCAACTGTTCCCAGCTCACTACCTTCAGCTACATGTGGAACTGCATGTCCGTAGCCACCCTGGAGAGCCTGCTGTGCCACACTGCCCGGCTAAGCAGCTTAAGCCTAATGTATTCTGCTCCTGAAGAGGTTTGTGTTTCCAGGCATGGTGTCCACCAGCTGAGACAGGACCAGATTCTAGATGGGCTGAGGAGGATCATGCTGCCGTAACCATCCCAGGACAGTCTGGTTTTGTGTTGCTCATTGTGGACTCCATTGTAACTGGGGAGTCTGTTACCTTCATCCTATCCCATGCAATGATTGTATCCCTATCTAGTTCGATCCACATAACCTCGGCTTCACTCTGGGTACCATGAACACATGGCCCTTGTTTCAGCGCAAATGAGAAAATGACAAATCAGATAGGAACCTTGGAACATCGCTGACTTGAAAATAGAAGTGAACATTGTGGACTTGGGTCCTAGATGAGATCAGAAATAAGAATTTGCATCTCTAGATATTAATTCAGGTTTGAGATGAATGTGTGACTGAATGTAAAGAAATGATCTGAAATAAAGAGTTTCACCTAATCAAAAAAAAAAAAATGTGTTCAGCAAGCTCTGGAGTGGTGACAGCGAACCTTCTAGAGCTTTCAGTGATACAGCCAGCTGTGGCATTCATGCCATGGGTTCACCACCACTGCCCTAGAGTAATGACTGTGGTCATAACTCATGCTTTGTAAACTATAAAATGTTGAAAGAAATTAAAGAAGGTATAAATAAATAAAAATCCCACCTCATGGGTTGGAAAAATTACTATTGCTAAAATGCTAGTATTCTCCACAATGATTTATAAATTCAGTTCAGTCCCTTTTATAACACCCAATGGCCTCTTTGTAGAGATTGACAAGCCAGTTCTAAAATTGATATAAAATTTCAGAAGGCGCAGAGTAAAACAGTTTTGGAAAAATATAAAACAAAATTGAGGACTCAGAAATTTCCAGTCTCAAAGTGTAGTACAGAGCAATAGTAGTCAAGATAGTTGCAGGAGGCATGAGCGTAGCTGCTAACAAGGGGTGATGTGACACTCAGAGAGGGACATGTGAAAGAGTACAGCTGGGCCCTTACCTCACTGCATATGGAACATCAGAATCCACCAAAGATCCAAGTGGAAGAGGTGAAACCATAAGACTTGCAGGAGAGAAACACAGAAATAAATCTTCATGTCCCCACTTTTGACAATGGATTCTTACAGATGATCCTAAAAGCACAAATGATAAAAGAAAAATAATGGATAAATTGGATTTCACTGATGTTAAAAGAAGCCTGTGTTTCAGAGGATACTATTAAAAAAGATTTGCTATGCAATGGGAGAAAATATTTGCAAATCACATATCAGATAAGACATATAATCCAGACTATATAAAGAAGTCTTACAAAAAAGACAGATGAACCTAAAAATAGGCACAGGAGTCAGGCATGGTGGCAAACATCTGTAATCCCATCTACTTGGGAGGCTGAGATAGGAGGATTAGAAGTTTCAGTCACACCTGGGCAACTTAGCAAGACCCTGCCTCAACAAAATTTGAAAAGTACTGGGGATACAGCTCAGCACTCCTTGGGTTTAATCCCTAGTAACCCTCCCTCCCCTACACTCAAGGATTTGAGTATGAATATTTCCAAAGAAGATACTCAGATGCCCTTGGTGTTAGCCACCCAGGGAAAGGCAAATCAAAACCACCATAAAATAGCAGTTCACACCCACTATGATGGCTGGAATAAAAAAAAAAAAAATGCAGATGTTGACTAGAACATGAAAAAAAATAAAAACTTTCATATGCTATTGGTGGGAAAGTGTAATGGTCCAGCCACTTGGAAAATCTGACAGTTACTGTGAAGTTTAAATTAACATGTAATCTAACAATCACACTCCTAGAGAACTGGACACATGTCCACCAAGAAACATGTACAGAAATGTTCAAGGTAACCTTACGAATAGTAGCCAGCGGGTGGAAACAGCTAGTGAATAAATAAACAAAATGTGTTCTAGCCATGCAGTGGAATATTATACTGTCATAAAAAGAAAGTAACCTGTACATTCTACTAGGTGAATAGACCTGGAAAACAATGCTAAGTGAAAGAAGCCAGACACAAAAGACTGCATGTGTGACTCTTCGTGTGAAAGGTCTAGAATAGCATATCTGTGGTAACAGAAAGTAGATTCGTAGTTGCCAGGGGATGGAGGAAGAGGGGAATCAGGATTTACTGCTAATGGGTATTGGGTTTCATTTGAGAGTATTGAGAGTGTTCTGTAATTAGATAGTGATGCTTAGTGCACAAGTGTGATTAAGTATACTAAAACCAGGTGGGTCTTACACTTTTACAGGGCGAACTTCATAGTACGTGAGTTATTAAATCAATAAAATTGTCTTTAAATAAATACTTTGAGATAACATGTACTGTCTGCCTGTCAGTGTTCCAGGACTGTGAGTATGAGCACATTTACAACAGAACTGTAAAGCGAGTACAGTTATTTTGCTTATTTTACAAGTGAGGAAATAAAGGCACACAAATTATTTTTCTAAACAAGTGACAAGTGGGAGACCATGATTTGAGGCCAAGCAGACTGTCGGCACAGTTCATGTGCGTACCGAATTGCGCCGCTCAGTAATCTGTCAGTCGCTTCTGTTTACGTCCTGATTTTAGGCATCCAGAATTTGAGAGTTGATGCAGCGAATGGACCGAGCTTTGATGAAGTGCTAGAAAGCGCTGACAATAATAGAAGCAAGCTGTCCAGGAAAAGTGGCTGGGTGTCGGCTCTTCCCGTGGGCTTCTGGTGCTTGACCTGTACATCTTAGATGGGTCGTAGATGTTTTTAGATGATTCAGATTAATTTTTTTTTACAAAAAATATCTTTTCTCAGATCTTGTTAAAATTTTTTGATCACGTGCAAAGTAAAGTGGAGAATTTAAACACCTTCAGTTAACAGTATACTCTTAAAAGGGCTCTTGGCTGACCAGATATTTCCAGTATTCAGCTCCTCCATTTCTAGATTAAAAAAAACTACAAGATTGACTTACCCAAGTTAAAATTAATGAGTGGAAACATCAGAGCTCAAACCAGATCTTTGGCCACCCTTACTAGCCTTTACCGGTCGTCTTTGTGGACTCGTCCTCAGGGAATTCTGTGTAGTGAACCCAGACTGTCTTCCACTCCAGTGATTCCTTCTAAAGTGTCCTTCATAAAGATCTACCCTGCTCTTAGTACTGTCAGCAATGGAAAGTCACAAGCAACCACTCTGCTTTCGGTTAACTTAATTCAGGAAGCTTTTATATGATTCTTTTGTTGATTCTTTCAGTTTTTCCATATCCCTCTCTGTCTCTGTTCATGTTGCTTGGCTTATCTTTCTTTCTCTTTCCTGCCACTCAGCCTCTCTTTTTTCTTTTCTTCTTACTGCCCAGCACTTAAGAAGCTTTCTTGGGTAAATTCCCTATAGTTTATTCCTGTCATCTATTAATCCACAGTTTAAATTGCTTTATATTGAAAGATAGTTAACATTCCTTATTCATTTTACATATTGTCAACCACCCTAATATTATACATTATAGGCACTGTTTTCAACTTCATTTGAGTCGTGCTCTTTTATAGCTTACTAACCTAAATAGAAATCACTTAATTAGAATGTATTTCTCTGGAATTATTTGCATGCACTGAATTTCAGCTGTGTCCCTATACTGGGGCTGTGTACACAAGGGTATAGTGATGGACACTGTAAAGTCTAAATGGGCATTGTAGAACCTAATGCAAAACTAATACAAAATTGCAGTTTATGTTTTGACATCACCATTTGTCCATCTTAAGTGGCTTTTCATTAAAAGGTAGATCCAGGTTACAAAATGTTTAGCTACTTTTTGCCTGTGTGGAATGTGTCATTTAGTATTTCTTGACGTATTTATTCATCTGGCCATTGTTCTGATACAATATGCACGGCCTCCTACTCTGCCTCAAGCATCAATGCTAAAGTTTTTTTATGTTTTTAATTTTTATTTATTTATTTTTGGTACCAGGGATCGAACTTGGGTCCTTGTGCTTGCAAGGCAGGCAGCAGAACCATTGAGCTAAATCTCCGGCCCCTTAGAGGTTTTTTAATATGCCATCTCAATTTATATTTACAAGCCATGGTTGTTGGTATTATCTCTTGAGATAAGGAAATTAATCTTAAGTAACTTGAAGAACTTTGCCTAAGATCACATAACCACGTAGGGTAGAGCTAGAGTGGCTCCAGGTGCTTTCTTTGTTGAGTTGTACTCTTTCCTATTAGTAGTATATAAGATGCCTTATACTTTGTGATGTGTTCTCTCAACTGCTATCATTCTGCTAAGTCCATGAGATAGATATATTCCTTCCAATAGATGGAAAATTTAGCTTCAGAAATGTTGAGTAAATTGCTACAGATCCAAGTTCAGAAAGTAGTGAAACTAATAACTAGAAAGAACCCAAATAAGGGCCTGGGATTTGGCTCAGTGGTTCTACCGCCTGCCTTGCAAGCCTAAGGTCCTGAGTTCGATCCCCAATACCAAACAAAACAAAACCCAGATATTGTGTTTCAGTGCCTTTTCTGCTATAGAGTTGCCCCTTCCTGTCCATGGGCTTTGCAATCAACCACAGGTCAAAAATACTAGAAAAAATTTGTACTGAACAGATACAGATATTTTATTACTATTCTCTAAACCATATAGTCTAACAACTATTTACCTAGCATTTATATTGTAGCAGATATTGTAAGAAACCTAGAGACAACTTAACATTTATAGGAAGATTGCACAGCTTATATGCAGATGCTACAACATTTTATTTAAAGAAGTGGAGCACCCTCAGATTCTGTTAAGGGGGCAGGATCCTGGACTCAGTCCTGCACATTCCAAGCATAGCTGTGCTAGTTTTGTGGCCCTTTGCTTTAAAGACCCCTAACATCACAAAACTGTCTCATTGAGACAACTTAACTTTCTTCTTGTCCCTGTCATAGTTACTTGGGCTGTCATAATGGAATACCATAGACTGGGTGGCTGAAACAGCATAGACTTATTTCTCACAGTTCTGGAGGCTGGGTGCAGTAGCAAGTATTATTCTGAGGCCCCTTCTCGTGTTGTGGGCAACTGCCATCTCACTGTACTCATATGACCTCTTGCTTGTGTGTACTTAGATAAAGAGCAGACTCCGTCATATCCCTGC